GTGGTGGAAAAAAACAGAATTGGTGGTGGTCAAAGACGACGACGGTGAAGAAAAACTGTGTCGGTGGTGGTGGACAAAAATGACTGTGAACACTCGGTGATGGAGAAGGCGGTGGACGAAAACAAAGAAGACAGTGAGTGGAGGACATATACGGTGGTGGATGGTGGTGGATGAAAGAGAGACGGTGGTTGTGGACGAAAACAGTTTTGAGATGGTTTGTGGACAAAATTCGATGGTAGTGGACAAAAAACACTAATTATACCATCAATCTTAAATCAGGGATATAACAGTTATTTTACATCACATGAACAGTGATTTGTGACAGATTTTCGAGGGTTCAAGAAGAAATGACATTTTTCGAAAATTTATTTAGAGAACTGACATTTTTGGTAAAAATCCCAACAAAAATATAGTGTTTACTACTATATTATTGTGGAGAAAAAAAAACAAATTATAACATTTTCCTTAATTTTTTTGATCGATAGTAATTAAATTTAATAATACTATGATTTCAACTAGAATTCATATGAAATTTATAGTAAAAAAAAATTGGTGGAAAATCGGGTGAACAAAAACCAAAAAGTTTTGGATTATTTACGTCTTGGACAGGTTTTTCTTTATTTTATATTTTTGGTCAAAAGACAGGTTTTTCTAATCACAGATAAAGCCTCCAAATTTGTAGACTATCTTCGACCAAATTACCTTTACTTTTATATTTTTAGTATGTGAAAATTTTGTATATCTATAAAAGAAATAAGAGAGAGTTTCAATTCTTCAACATGAAGACAAGAATCTTTCGCCATTTTCGTAAATGGCAGTCACAGGAGACAGTCGTAAATGGCAGACCAAATCCTTTATATGCAATTTGGTTGCACTCATTAGAAATTTCAATTCTTTATTATTCTTAACTCTCTTTTTTTTCTTCTTTATTCTTTGTAATTTCGGTATAAAGATGGCAGACATAGTACGGAACCAATTATTCTTTTCGTCCAACCAAACAATGTTTTTTTCCCCTTCTCTTTGATGTTTCGAAGCCATTGAAATTGATTATGACTTTCGAGTAGCGAGTAAATAAATATAAATAAAATGATCAAGAGTTCTTTTTTTCTTCTTATTTTATTAAGTAAATAAATCAAACAACTCAAAAGAAAA